GTGTACACTTCAATTGGCATTTTGGTTCTCGATATTGTAAATAATTAATATAAGAAAATGTTATTATATTTTAAATTGATCTAGTGACTTTTGAGCTACTCATTCTATATTTAAAAATTGGCACAAATTTATCAGACAATCCAATATATATATAAATATATATATTATATATCTATATACGTACATATATAATTAATATAACGGGCTACTATCGTTCGTTTCATACTAATCAAAGACGCGTACTTCTGAGCGAATCTTAAAAAACCATCTCTCTTTTTTATCTTATATTTTTTGTTTGTTTTTAATTCGACTAACCTATATTCAATGAACTTACACACAAGGCGTGTTCAGACGATGTTCTATTTTTAAATAACGAATTGGAAAGTTTTGATTTTAGGGTGTGTTGCTTTAATTAAGTTTCGTTGTACATTTAATAAGTGAACAAAATATTTCAAATCCTTTTAGAATGATTATTTAGGATTGTCTTGATCCTTGTTTGACTTTCTTTTTTTAGAGAGAAAAAAAATAATTTATAGAAAAATATTATTACATATACACGCCTCTTTTTTTTATTATTACTATTATTATATACATTTAGTATATAACATACATTATATATATATACTATATACCTTTTAGAACGATAGAGAACCGTTCATTCGTAGATTAGAACGTGCAAACTTACGTCATGTGTTTCCCAAAGAGAACATTTAAGACACCCGCTAGAATCTATTAGAGAATCACCCTTAGATCTGAACGTTCTGCACACTTATATACTTACTTACTTACTTACTTACTTACTTACTTACTTAATTAATTATTTAATTATTTAATTACGTACGTATTTATACATACATACGTAGCTTCTGACAAAAAAAAAAAGAAAAAACAAAAATGTTCCCAAAGCATACTTACATACAAACATACAAAAAAAAAAAGAAATCCCGTTATATTATAATTAGATCATATTAGAAACGACAAAAACCCATTAATTCGAATCAACAAATATCCTCCTGTCCTACGTGTCCGGGATCAAAAAGCCTCATAATAATATCCACGATAGCTTATGACCAATGAATAACACCCGCCTTCTTCTCTCAATATCCGTTTCGATCGATCTGTCGAAAAAGTATTGCGCGTGATGTCGTGACTCAAGAACCGAAACAACTCAAAGAACTTAAAAAAGAAAAACAAAAAAAAAACAGAAAAAAAAAACAAAACCACGCAGAAACTATTCGGACGTGTTCGAACTTACAATTGGAAAATGATAGAGAAAAAAAATAATAAAAAAAAGATAAAAAAGATTGATAATAAAAAGAAGAGAAAGAAACTAAACTAAACGAAACGAAACGAAAAAATGCATCACCTGGACACGAGGCTCTTTAGAGACCGGCGAATCTCTCAGGAGAGATTTAATTTTCTTTAGAGATTCTAAGTCTACATTAGAGAACCTCCCACCCTTTGTCCCTAGCTGCTTTCAGCCCTAGGAACGTTCGGCGAAACGATGTGGTCATCGTCGACGAGACGACGAAATGGACTGCTTCGTTCTCCGATTTAATATATCTTCTATCTATTTATCTATCTATCTATCTATCTATCTTTCCATTTTCATTTCTATTCTTTTGAAATTCTTACCATATATCTATCATCTTCTATCTGTCTGTCTGTCTGTCTGTCTGTCAGTATGTTTGTCTATTTGTCTTAAACAAAAAAAAATGTTTCGTATCCACATTGTATCCTGGTAAGTACCAACGCACCTAATTGGAACGACATTTATCGCTCGGTGTGGATCTTTTATCTTCACTTTCTATCTCTTTCTCAAAACACACTCACACACACACACTTCCTCTTTCTCTTCTTCTTCTTGATTTTCTTTTCTTTTTTTCTCTCTCTTTCTCTTTCACTCTACTTGTCATTTATCCACCCGAGCGTATAAACACGCAGAATATAACTGGAAATGTGCATGATTGCATGCGGTGAGATTTTTGTTGGAAAGTTGCATGCTTATTATTATTATTATTAACAACAACATTGATTTTTAATTGAAGAAAAGAATAGAGAAAGAAAATAAAATTAAAGCTCAATAATAATAAAAGTAAATTAATTTATATATACACGTCTGTACATCGATGATTATACTCTGCTATTTATTATTTCATTCATTATTTCGAGATACCGGCATGTATGTATGTGTAAATGCTGGTAATTTTTGTGTGTATAATAACTCTTTAATAGTAATACAAATTTAAAGATATTTATTTTATTATTTGAATAATCTATGGGTAAAAATCATGAGAATACAATTTTGTTTTTCAATTTCTTGGACTCGTGTCTCAGTCTGATCGAATAATTATCAGTAATTATTTTGCATACCCGTTTTTCTCGATAATTGAGCCGTTTATTTTGAAACTGGGCAAACTAAAATTTTGTTTATTAAAAACATTTAGCGAAAAAAAAACAAGAAATGGACTTATTAAATCATTTTCAAAATGTTTAAACGGCTCAATTTATATTCTATGTTTAATAAAAACACATAATTAGGGAATATAAAGAGTTAAAAAAAAAAAACAAAAAAAAAGCTTTAATCGTTACACGCAACATGGGCTCACGATCGGAGGCAAAAGGCGTCTCAAGCGAGAATCGGTTTTTCTGAAATCGTGTCAAACGCGGTCAAAGAATCGTCGACACCCCAAAAATGTATTTAAAAAATAAAGAATTGAAGAAGAAAAAAAAAGAGATAAAAAAAGAAAAGAAGAACAAAAAAGTTCTCCTAATCGGCTGATTCTTAAACCGATCAAGTATACGACTGATTAATTTTATTCGTTTAGGTGGACCTGCAGAATGTCGTAGTTAGCGACTCACGTGCCGGTAGTATCGAGAGTTTAACGACTTATGGTGAGAGACTTCACCCCCATCATCCTTCGACGCATCCACCGAGACATCATTCAAGATCGCCAAGCTTAAGGTATTATCAGATTTTCATTTATTAAACTTCTAATCGTTAGTCTAATTTTGTTTACTTTCTACCGATCAATATTCTTCCACCAAAATAATAATCGTGTTTCTTTGTTTATGGCATTATACAAAATGGTCGATCTTACTTGTTTGTCTACAAGTAAATTATATTATAAAAAATCAGCTTAAGATGATATATCTTTAATTAAAAAATAAATAAATGTCTTAATATTAAGTTAATGCATATGAAATGTCGGATTTTCTTTACATTTTCGTTATTTTCTTGTTTTTGGCATAATTTTGTTTATGGTCGTACTGTCCATTGCCAGAGTCACATTTCAACAAAGCAGATTTTCTCAAAAGTGTTCAATTTTTTAATTATTTTTTAAATTTTGTAAAGATATGAATTCAACCGATATTCGTGTAATTTTTATATATGAGTATAAACTTGGTAATAATGCTGCAAAATTTGCACACAATATAAACCAGGCGTTTGGAGAGTACTGTTAACAATCGAAAAATGCATCGTTGCTTTGAAAAACTTCGATCTCCTGAATTTTCCCTTTTAGAAAAAGACCCAAAACGTCTGTAAAAAATGATGCTCTGAAAACATTGGTAGAAACGAATCCAACTATATCTACAAGGGTACTTGCTTGTAGAATGAAAATTGACCATACAACAATATTACGACACCTTTCTGAAATTAACAAGATGAAAAAAATGGTTAAGTGGATACAGCACTAATTAACCAAGCAAAATAAGCTTGATCAATTAAACATATTTTCATTACTATTAGCCCGATTTTTTTAAATAAAATAAAATATGAAATTTTGCCGCACCTATCTTATTAACCGGATCTTTCGCTAACTAACTTTTATTTTTCTAAACATTTACAACAGTTTTTACGTGCTAAACAGTCTATAAAAATGAAGACAGTCTGAAAAAGTCCATATCAGAGTTTATTGATTCTAAAGATCAGAATTTTGTTAAGACAGGCATCTGTGTGTTATAATCTCGCTGGGAAAAGTGTATTTAAACAAATAGAGTTTATTTTGAATAAATAAACAGATTTTGAAAAAAGATACGACGTTTTATATATTAACTTTAAAATCCGACATTTCATACGCGGTACCTAATATTTTTTCACATTAAAATCGAATAAATCTTGTTTGAACAATTGGCTAAAAACGAATGATACGTAAAATCAATATAAATGTCATTTGATTTATAATAATAATCGATTTTTTTTATGTTAAATAGAAGACATTCACCGGTCATGCACAGATCGCCATCGCCAAGGCGACACAGGCACGACCATCATGGATATTATCACGAAGGACCAGGCTTTAGCGACACGGTTAGCAACGTCGTCGAAATTCAGAGGCATCATCATCATCCACATTCTTTACAATATAATCGACATAAGATGCGAGGTACGTGATGATCGTGCGATACGTGCGTGAGAGTGTGCGCGTGCGTGCGTGCGTGCGTGTGTATCTTCAATTTTATTATTAATCTCGTACGAGAACAAAGTAAAACCAAAAAATAAGAAAGTAAAAACTTAGATAAACAAACAAAACAAATTCCGTCTTATAAAACACGTTTACGCAGAAATAAAAAAAGGAAAACAAAAAAAAAGAAATCAAAGGATCAGAGCCACGAATCATATCCCCTATTTTTCTTTACTTTCAATCCCTGTTCCTTTCGATATAATATTAAACACGTTGATTGCCGTGCATTAAACACCATTATACAATTAACCTTATCTGCTGTAAATAATATTGAAACGCATTAAGAAAAAATCACGTGAAATGCGGGTGGCAGTCAACGTGTCAATCGGATTAGATGGAAAATTTTATTTAGTCATTCAAGGATTCGTGTCTGTGATTCGAATTAATTAATTATGAATGTCGCTATAAATGGTTATTTCGCAAGAGGCAAAAAGAGGCTCTCAATGTATTTTAACTCGATGTAATATGTTTCTTCATTTTGTTCTGTTATGCGCCTACACAACAGACTATTACGACCACTGCGACTATTACGACGATGGTAATTTCTTTCGCAACTCCGTTTCGTTCCCCTTATCCAACGCAAATTTGTCATGTCATATGTAATTTTGTATTTATGTATGTTCGATGTTCGTTTGGCTTTTATTCGTCTTGTCTTTTATCACCTTATCCTTTTATTTAATTATACAAATACACCTACACGCGCACATACATACATACAAACATACTTACATAAATATATTCATTGTAAGTTGAAACTTTGTTCAATTTAGAGACCATTTTTACATCGCTTTACAGTTATTACCATCGGACACTACAATTTACAGCCCTTATTTTCTTTCACGTGTGTAAACTTAGATCGTATTTTTTAGTCTTGTATTAAAAAAAAGTGCACATACTTACTTACTTACTTACTTACTTACTTACTTACTTACTTACATAGTTGTCTGGTATACAAAAGTATAGTGTGTTCTTTTTTTATTTAGCAAATCCATCGAAAGTAGAACGTCCCCGATGCCATCTTTAGTCGTAATCGCACGCTTTATACACGGAACGAGCTTGAAAACATTGACGTATAATTATGTACGTAATATACATGTATGTATACACATACATACATATATCTACATATATGTGTATATTTATCAAAAATTTTCTATCGAAGATCATATTTGCACTTATGGCATGTACGAAATTATTCACTTTGTTTGGCTTCACTCTAACTTATTTTACTCCCCCCTGCCCCCTTTTAGGTAGACGGGAGAAGCACGGATCAACATGCATTCGATGCATCGTCCGATTTGCACCTAAATAATAGGATTGGCAAAAAAAAAATTAACAATGCCTTACAAGCGTGGCGCGAGTCCGACGAATGGCAAAATAAATAAAAACATTTGCTGTTACGGAAAAAGTAGTAGCGTTATCTAGCAAGCCATTGTTAGGTCGAATTTCATTTATCGACGCAACATTACTTACTTAAAGTAGAACAAGACGAGGCTACTAGAAAAAAAGATGCCTACCTACTTATATACATATATATATATAATACCTACTATCTATTACCTACTACCTACATAAATCATTTATATATATATACAGTGACTCGCAACAGTAATTGAACACTTGCCATGAAATACTTTAAAGTAAATACATTATATACATTAAAATATAATACAATAACAACATATAAAGTATAATAAATATTAATTAATATTATAAATTAATAATAAAGTATATATACAATAACAAATTATATACAAAGTATTATATAGATATAGAGGTATGACAAGTGTTGAAATACTTTGACGAGTGACTGGTATATTGACACACCTGTTAAATAAATTCGATATCGAGAATCGATAAAATGATGAAACGTGGGTAAAATGAAAAGAAGGAGAATTTCTTATCAGGTCCTTGGAGCGCATCAACGAGTCCCGCGAGATCACCTAGTCCAGTTCATCGGATAGAACGCGGTCAACATTACGGTACTACCAGCTTGGAACAACGCTCGAGGAGTCCAAGTCCGATTGGTGGTCGTACACCAGCACATCCTCATCACCCACATCGTCATCCGTCGCATCAACACAGCTATCCGGTTTTGGTAGCTAGAAGAGGTCGTCGGTTACCACCTACCCCGAGCAAACCTTCGACGTTGCAATTAAAGCCAACGAATATTAATTTTCCGAAGCTTAACGCATCGCCGACTCATGGGCCGCTCATGGTAGGAGGAGTTCCGCATGTACCACCCGTCGTACAGATCGGTATGCCACATCCAACTACCGGTCATATGCAACCACCTATGCAACCGAGCCACTGCCCGCTCAGTTTCGAGCAGGCTGTTGCAATAGGTCGAGGAGGTCGTCTACTTCCTAGCCCCGTGCCGAACGGTTACAAACCGCAGCCCCAGTCAAAGCAACGTTTGCCAAGGTCAATCTTTTTATTCTTTTTCGTTGTTTACATATATTATGTTTCTTTATCTAATTGTTCAATGTTTTTATCCCTTTGATTTGCGAACACCGCCTATAGACGCCCTATGCGAGATGCACATTTGTAGCGTACAGCGCCTATAGGCGCGTATCACTTGTTAGTATACTCCAAGATACGAATAATTTGATTATTCATATAAAATTGTATACTTTGAGGTAGTCTTTCGATTTATGCGAACTCGGAATTACGCGGTTTTTCATTTGATCGTTAATTGTAATGAAATATTCGTTTTTTTTCTAATTGAAAGAGTAAACGAAGTAATCTGACACGTATCATACACGTAGGAATGCGAGTGTGCACAAGTATGAAACAAATGTGTGTGAGATCGGTGTCTAACGACAATATTTATTCATTTATTTATTATTTTACGAGATAAACCATTAATACAGAGTTTGGTAAACGTGACAAAGAAAATGATCTGACGATGAGTCAATCCTGCCGGCGCCAGACAAAACAATCCCTAAAAGTTAAAGTTTAAATTATTATCGTCAATCTGACACCAATTTCGCGTAACTTCGAGGCACGGAGCTTATATACAAGGAGGACGATCGCAGTGTTATAAATGTGGCTACAATATTCACAATGAGAGGGTTATTTCTATTGCCACTAGAGAGCGCGTCGATTCTTATGGTCTGGTTTTTCCTCGAAAAACATCAAAGAGAACTATTTCATTTGTTTTATTATTCATTTATTTATTTATAAAAGCACACGTACTTACGAGGAGACCTTACGGTGCCCTCACGGATTTTAACGAGCTTTGGTATACTAGTAGTATACCTTTAGGGTGTTAATGTGGTAAAGTATTTTATCAAAATGCGAAGTCAATTTTGAGAAAAATGCTTTTAAGATTTTGAATTTTTTGTATACATGTTTATATTATCTTAAATGCGACTGTTTATCAAGTGTTTATAGCGTGCTCGCTTCTCGTGCTGATAGTTGGTGGTTCGATCCTTCATCGAGAAAGTTTTTTCTAATGATTTTTTTCTATTTGTTTTTAAATTGTTTTTTTCGTAATTTTTAATTTTTAAATATATACAGGAAAGAGAAAATTATTTATTACAAAAAAATTAGGAATAAATAATTTTTTAACATCTTGCGCAAATAATAAAGGAAAATCGATTACTCGAATTACAGTTAACATTTTATTTTTTAACAGGTATATGAAAATAGATAAATCTTCTCTCAATATATTAACAAATAACAATCCTATATATTCTACTCATTAACAATTTCATGTATAATTTTTTTATATCCATGAGTTTTAAGATTTATTGTACATTTATTAATATTTACTAATCGCAGGTCCCAGAGTGGTAGTTATCGTAAAAACATTTAAAACAATAAAGTTTTTGACATCTTGCGCAAATAATAAACGAAACTTTAATCCTTGAATAATAGTTACTATTTTATTTTTTAACAGGTATATTATACATGAAATAGTTAATAATTAGAATACATACGATTGTTATTTATTAGTATATTGAAGATACTTTTTCATATACCTGTTAAAAAATGAAATATTAACTGTAATTCAAGTAAAATCAATTTTCCTTTATTATTTGCGCAAGATGTTAAAAAATTATTTATTCCTAATTTTTTTGTAATAAATAATTTTCTCTTTCCTGTATATATTTAAAAATTAAGATTTATGAAAAAACAATTTAAAAACAAATAGAAAAAAATTATTAAAAAACAGTTTCCCGATGAAGGATTCGAACTACTAAAACTAGCAGCACGAGAAGCGAGCACGCTACTACTTACGTTAGCGCGCCACTTGATAAATGGTCGCATTTAAGATAATGTAAAAATGTATACAAAAAAATCAAAATTTTAAAAGCTTTTTTCTCAAAATTGGCTTCGCATTTTGATATAATACTTTACCACGTTAACACCCTAAACGTATACTACTAATATACCAAAGCTCGTTAAAATTCGTGAAGGCATAACCATAAGGTCTCCTTGTTAAATCTGAACTTCACTTCGGGGGCCGGTCACGAGTAAAATCGTGTAAAAAAATAACAAAAAAAAAGAAAAAAGAAAAGAAAAAGAAATAAGAAAAATAATATATATATATTCTTATTTTTTAAGAAATATTAAGAGTTAAATAATAAATAAACTTTATTAAAGTTTATTTATATTGTTTTACTTCCACATCCGCTTTCAAAACAATAGCCCGCCACATGAGGTAAATTTTCAGAAAAGTTGCTGCTCCCCAAAGTGTTAAGAGGTTACATGGGGTTAAACCAGAAAAAAATAACATATTTTCAACAATTTTTTTTTCTATATAAAAAATGGAATTCTTATTCAAACTTTTTATAGCATTTAAGATACATATTTAAAGAACATTTTCTGAAATTTTGGTTGAAAAATATTTTAAACTCAGCCATTGCGATGTAATTTACGGTGACCCCACCGAAAAAAAGTGTTTTCGCATTGACAGCAGAACTCATAAACGGTAAGGGTTTTTCAGTTGAAAAAATAGGGACTTTTAGTGAATACTTAAAACAAGAAACTGGACGAAGGAATAAAAAATTGAAATTTGGATTTTTGGCAACGTTTTTAACAAGAACATTCTAATTTCGCTACAATTTGAACCACATTTTAGTTTCCTAAAATTCGATTTAATGAAAAATACAAAAATCCTTCGTCCAAGTCCTTGTCAATAGTATCACGAAGACGTGTAGCAAATTTCATCAAGATCGGTTAAATAGTTTTCGAAAAATCTTGACAACCGACTTTAGAAAAAGCGTTTTGAGAAAAACGCGTTTAAAGATTTGAGTGCTGGTAAAAGAGCCATTAAAGAGTGGAACTTCCCAAGGCTCTATTTTTTAAATTACTACTCCTATCGACTTCAAAATTAAATACAATATTCTACATAAGTTGTAGAATTTAAAGAGATAAAAAAAAAAAAATAATTTTTTTGAAAGTCCCAAACCCATGTAACCCCTTAAGAACACCAGTGCCGCCCTCGCGGATAATTATCGTACTCGGTATTTAGCCATTTTCAAGAACAGAAATTCAACAAAAACATGTATCTCGATTGTCCTCCTTGTATAGAGCTTTGTTCTTCGAGGAATGGGATTGTTATTGTTTCTTTTATTTCTTATTATAGTTGTTCCAAATAATTATTGAAATATTTCAAACAGGTCGAGACATTCCGACAGCGACGAGGATGACTGGTGCTAGCCAAAGTGGGACCCTGGACGGTGGTCCGGCGACGTGGACGCCCCCAGGCGTCTTTGGGTCTGTGCGTGAATCGTCTACGTGAATCGTCCACGTGGGACGTGCATTGACTTTCTTGTCACGATCGCGAGAACGCGATTTAATCGAGGAGGATCGATACGAAAAATGCGGCTGACCGGTTTCTCGTTAATACGCAACGAACCAAACTGATGAACCGAACCGAAATGAAACGAAACGAAACGAAACTAAACGAAACAAGATAGAAAGATGAAAAGATTATGAAAAAGAGAGAGAGAGAGAGAGAGAGAGAGTGATGATAAAGGGTGGGAAAAGGGGGTTAGGATATTCGATTATTCAAAGAGAGATTAGAATCGATTTAGAAAGAAAGGACTTATCTCGGTGAAACGAAAATACGAGTGTGACTCTTCGTGTAACCTCGATCGCAAACGAGGTTTGTTTCGTGTGAAAGTTTCATTTTTCGGTCCTTTACATTTCGAGATAAAAAAAAGCTAGAGATAGAGAGAAAGAGAGAGAGAGAAAGAGAAAATAAATAAAAGAGAAAGATAGTGTGTGATGGGGAAACTTGATGAATAAAGAAATTCGGGTGTTTCATGAAGGATTCTAAGAACGAAATATTACACACATAAAAAGGGATTAAATATAGAAATAAATAAATGTAAAAGAGAATATACGTAATGCAGGAATAGTGAATCGCATATATTCGATTGGATAATCATGCGCTCGTGCTAAAAAATTCGTAATCGCATTTGTGTGATGACAAATAGCACGACGGACGCTTGCTTTCCTTTTGGTTTTTTCTTTTGTTTTTTCAAACAATTTCTTCTCTGCGGCCATTCCAATCGGCGAATCGGGACGAGAGGAGGGGTCCACTTTTTATACGATAATTAAACAAACGGTAAAAGAAAAAAAAAAATCAACCACAACGCAACAATCATAGGAACAACGGGGAAGAAGAATAAAAAGATATCTAAAGGGAGAGAAAGAAAGAGAGGGATTGTAATCTACGAAAAGGATACGTTTCATTGTGAACATAAACTTGAGAACAACTGTCAAGGCTACAAAATACAAAACAAAAAAAAAAGATCTTCAAATCGGAATGAAAGACGTAAACGCTTGGAACCCAGATTCATTTTCTTGTCGAAAGAAGGGGAAAAAAAATAGAAAAAAAATAGGAGAAATCGTTAACTGCTTCGTTTTTCTTCTTCGTTCTATCTTTCTTTTCTTCTCTTTCATTCTCTCTCTCTCTCTCTCTCTCCCTCTTTCTATCTTTCTTATCATCTTTCTTTCCTTCGTTCGTCGCTTTTGTTTCATTGTTAAATCACGAGGGTTAGACAAATCGGAAAATGATATGAACGGGTATGAATTTTTTCAAGTTGCAAAAAAACTTATCGAGTGAATATTTTACTTGCGTTGTTACACAATTGCAACGTTCCGAAGATATAGAACAGTTCTCCCGAAGGAAGAAATACAAGAGTTACCCCTATCCCCGGAAGTGCGTGGTGAATTGGATCAAAGGTAAACCGATGATGATTTTCAAGGGAAAAAAAAAAAAAAACAAGAAGAGAAGCTGCCGCTAAAATTGCGAGATTACCCTCGAATCGTTCGTTCGTTCGTTCGGAACGTGTTTAAATGTGAAAAATAAAAATACAATGTGAAATACGTCGTACGCGTGTTTAAACAAAACAAAAGAAAAAAACAAAAAAACAAAAAATAGCGAGTACTTTAAATAATAGGTAGGTGCAGTTTTTCTAACGACACTCGTTGGACAGTGAATAAAAAAGAGAAAGAAAGAGAGAGAGAGAGAGAGAGAGAGAGAGAGAGAGAGAAGTTGAAGGAGAGAATAAAAAAATCGCCGAATAGGAATCACGTCGGTGTTCGAAAAAAAAAACATCGATCATTGTTGCCCCCCCCCTGTACCGCCCCCCGTTGCTTTATCGCTGCTACACAACGATTACCCACTGTCTTGTTTTTTAAACGAATAAACGAGCAAACAAACTAAAATATCTCCAACATATTCAAATAACAAAAAAAAAAAAACAAGGAAAAAATATATATACAAAATGAAGGAAAGAATGGAAAAGAAATTAATATCTCTATACTACAAACACCATCGTTTAAATCTCTTTCTCTGTCGTTAAGAGTTCGGATTGACAAGTATAAAAAAAAAATGGGGGTTCGAAGAAGGAAGGATGAACGAAAAAGAAGAAGAAGAAGAAGAAGAAGAAGTATTCGCGTCGCCGTGATTTTTCATCGTAATCGAAGCACTCGTAAAACGGTAACATGAATTTCCGTTAATGTGTCGTCGAATCGCTGAGTGACAAATAAATAAATCAATTAATCTCTATCAATCAATCAATCAATCAATCAATAAATTAATAAAATAAATCAATCAATAAATCAAGTGCATAAAAGGTGCTGATATTATAAGAGAGAAAATGAGATAGAGAAAGAGAGAAACAGAAAGAAAGAAAGAGAGAGAGAGAGAATAACATAAAAATCAAGAAGAACTGGTGATGAAAACAAGTAGAAGGCAATCTTCGCGTTCTTTCTATACGATTCTCTAAAAACATTTGTAAAATACTGCATATATTACAATTATAATACTATCACTGCTAACTACCGTTACTAACTACACCTACGAAAAAAGAGGCAAACTACTTCATTACTACTATTAACTAAAAACTACTACTATTACAACTACTACAGCTACTGCTACTACTACTACTACTACTACTACCTACTACTACTATTACTATTACTGCTACTACTCCTACTACTACTGCTACTACTACTACTACTATTACTACTATTACTGCTACTACTACTACTACTACTACTACTACTACTAATACGATTGTTACTACTAAAAACTATCACCGTCACCGTCATCGCTATTATTAACTTAAAAGAAAAGGGGAAAAAAAAAAAGAAAAATGAAAAAAACTATTCTACCAAAACTTACTACCGTCGCCATTGCTGCTATTGAAACTTATCATGAACTTATACTACTGCTAAGTGTGCTACACCCACCGAGAGCGCGTCACACATACTTAGATTAAAATAAATATTAACATCGATTTCAAAACCGATCGAATAATTGAAAGAAAATTTCCAAAATAAAAAAAAATAAAGAAAAGAAAACAAATCTCGAGCGAAATACACGAAACGGGAACTCGTTGGATCGAATTAAGCGCGCACAAAAATATAGAACGACAGCAACAAATTGACGAAAAGAAGACAAAAAAATTCGAAATGAAGATAATAAGGAAGAAGAGGAGGTGAAGTAGGAGGAAAAGGGGGTTGAAGAAAATACAAACGTGGTACACGCATAATGTGGAAGTATGACGAATAAAAACTATAATACGAGAGCACCAATAGAAAAGCGCGCGTATCCGAACGGTACAATATATATGTATATATATAAATATATACATACATATACATTTACATATATATATATGTATATGTGTAAAGAAACAAAACAAAAATAATTAAAAAACACGTTTAACATACTGCCAATCATACGAAATATCTTAGGCGGACACACATGAGATATAAAATTCATATGTAAATAGCGTATGTCTTTTTCTGCGATACGTATACATAACATCTACACATATGTATATTTATGTGTAGGTAGATGATGTGTATATACGTTTTGAAAGAATGGAATCGGAGAAACGGGAAGAAAAGTATATACGGAAGAAAAAAAAAATGGGAGCTATGTCGGGGGAGGGGGATTGAGTGAGTAAGAACGAAAGTGAGAGAGAGAGAGAGAGAGAGAAAGAGAGAGAATATTTAAAAAAAAAAAAATAACATTGATTAATGTATAAATGATAAATTTGATTTTCAATAATATTTCGCGTTTGCGTGCGCACCTGCATGCATGAGCCTTGGTCGAGTGCATATGATAAGGAAGTATGTTTCGATTGTGCATAATAATGAATATTATTATTATTATTGTTATTATTATTATTATTATTATTATTATTACTATATTTTATGCATATGTGTAAAGCACGATATAATCGATTACAAGATCGAGAGAAAGGGAGGGTGTATGTGTGCGAGAGAGATGAAATTTAAATGGCTAGAGCTTAGGGGAGGGGAAGGAGGGGGAAAGGGACTAATTTAAATCAATTTATTTCAAAATTGTTCGTTAATTATATCCCATTCTCTATAAATTGTTATTTTATCATAAAAACGTGTCATTTTCTCGTTTCGAAGTGTTACGTATTTTCGTATATGTTTATTGATTTATTCAAATGAATAAACATTTTCGATAAATTGTTACGATCGAAAAAGAAAAGAAAAAAAAGAAGAGAGTAAACCCCCGAAGCAATAACAACAACAACAACATATGCAGCAGCAGCAGCAAAAACAATAACAACAATGGCAAATTTGCAGCATCAGCATCTGTAATAACTGCAGCCACGAAACGTAATCGGAGAGTTCGCATGGTTTCTTCCCCTAAGTGCTTTAAAACAAAACTCAATCGTATTTCGTATATCGTCGCGTTCAATCATCGCTGTAAAAACAGAATTAACATTTTAATATATATATATATATATATAATACGCGTTATTATTATTATTATTATTATTATTATTATTATTACTATTATTATTATTATTACTCGAAACGAGAAATACGAGAAAAATACAAATGTGGAAAAAAATGGGTTTGAAGGGGATGGAAAAAATAATAGAAATAAAATAGAAAAAGGAGAACAACAACAAACAACAAAAATGAAATAGGGGGCGAAAGGAAAAACCGGTGAAAAATAAAGTAAGAAAAAAAAAGATTAAAAATAACCAAAAATACAACGTCATCTAACGTAAGAAGTGATGGGGAAAAGGTGGTTGCGCATAATACATACGTAAGCGTGCATAAATAATATATTTAAAAAACAAAAACAAAAAAAAATTAAATAAAATAAAGAAAGCAAGAAAGAGATAGAGAAAAAAAGAGAGAAAGAAAGAGAGAGAGAGAGAGAGAGAGAGAGAATCACGATTTACGATTTAATTCTATTATGAATTCGTTGTAAGCGTCGAAATAATAATATTTTATCGTTGAAAGATTTACCGACCGAATGAATGTTTTATTCCATTGGGTGCGAACAAGTTTGTATGTATGCAAGATTTATTCTTCGCGTGTGAATAAGCTTAACTAATTATATTATAATTATATATATATATATAAAAAAAAAAAAAAACAAAAAATGTTTTTCTGTGATAAAAATCCAAAACAAATCTTAAACTGCGGGTCGACGGAAGAAATGGACGAACGGACGGACGGACAAACGGACGGACGGACGGACGGACGCGATTTTGCAAGCCCTGCCGAGAAAAAGTTCTCCCTTTAAAACCTTTTCCTTCCGCCCCAAACCCCTTTTCCAAATAAAATTCGAAAAGCAACCAGCTACCGACCCCTTTTAAACACAACCATTCCTGCCCCAACCCCCGGATTCCCCGATTTAAACGAGAACGGGTTTCTACTTACCGAAAATATATCGATATTAATCGATAATATCGAGAAAAAGTAATTATAAAACAAATTTGTAGAAAATGGTTTGCTAGCGTGTTTGCGCGTGTATGTATAAAAGATAAAAAAAGTATATAAAAAAAAAAAAATATATAAAAACAATGAAGAGACGAAGGAGAGGAAGAAGGAGGAGGAGGAGAGAAAAAAAAAAAGAGAAAAAATAGTGAAATGATTATGCGCGGAAGTTAATAGAACGTACATAATTATACATAAATACATACATACATACATATTACACACATACAGAAAGAAATAAAAATAAAGAAGACAGACGTATGTATATACACGTGTATCATATAAAAACGTCGTGTGTGTTGTGTGCGATATGGATAAAGGAAAATAACGATAATGGAAAAAGGAAGAAGAAAAATCGAACCCTCTAATCTTACGATTCTTTAGTCTTGTGAAGGCATAGCAGATGACCAAGCTTTTAATTAACAATGTACACATAAATTTTAAAACGTAATTACGCGCGTGTACGCAATTGTGCGTATACTTCATTAAAACATTTAATAAATTACAAGTAATCGTAAATGAACTCTGATTAACCGCTAATGAATCAATAATAACTTTTAATAATAATAATAATGAATAATTAATATTAATATAATTAATATAATATATAATAATATACAATAAAAAGAATTATTATAATTATAATTATAAATAATATATTTAAGAGAATTAANTTAATAAGTATAATATAAATAATAGTGAAAATAATAATAATAATAATAAAAATAATTATATAATAATATAGTGATACATTATACAGGAAAGAAAATAAATTAAATAATTCCTTCTATTCGTCACGATGGCATGCTTTAATCGGACGATTACGAAAAACGGACTCTCTTAGAATAAAATAAAATAAAATAAAATAAAATAAAAAGAAATAACAAAAGAAGATGGAGAATATAAGGAAGGAAGTAGGAGGATGAGGGTGACGTAGACGATTGGCAGTGGCAGGTGGAAGAAAATGGTGGGAAAGGTGCGCTAATTAACGACGACGACGACTTAACGCACAAAACGTTTCAAACACGCGATTAGACGAGTTAACGTAATGAGTCGTTTCTATTTTCGATTCGAAGGCCGCCTCGCGTCAACCGAAATATTATAAACAAAAAAGAATGTGTATGAATGGAAAATGACACGGAAAGAAATAATAATTGAAAGACACGAAAGAAAACAATTTGACGATAGACCAATCAACGCGCGAACGGATCTCTCTCAAAAAGCCGATCGATCAATTATACAAAATTTATTCTTTTCTTTTTTTCTGATCAAAATTTTTCTATTCGCGTTATTATAAAAATCTATTCTAATCTCGTTCGATTAGAAATTAGAACATTAAGTCAAACGCGACGATTTTAAATAAAAACAATTACTATTCCAAACGATATTTAACCGATTAAAAATATTTTTAAATGGAGGATTCAATTCATATAAATATTGTTAATAATAATCGAATATTTTTAATCGAGTTTAGAGAAAAAAAATTACA